TATATTTTATACACATTACATTACCGTTATCGGTGTGTGAACTCTATTGTGGTGTCACCGCTGACGGGTCATCGCAAAATTGATAAAATATATTTTTCTATCGCTTATATCGCCTAAAAGTATTATTCGTATTGAGTTATAATAATAAAAAGATAATAGTTATTATCATTACCATTGTATTTTTGTATCATTATAATATAATATATTATTGCACGAGGCCGTCTTCCACGCTGCACTTATCCAATTATTACAATACAGTATCAGCTGTCATTTTTTTTTCTTGTCACATACAAAACAATTAAGCGTGTAATTATATAATTTTAGGTCTAGCTAAAACAAAACATGGAACATATTATATACATATATTAGTCATATTCTGCACGATTATCAATACAATTCTATTCACCTTATCGTCTGTGTATTTAAATTAACCACTTCTCATGGGTTAGAAATTGAGTAGGTATATTTTAAGGTGAACGTGCAATGTTATCAAGGAAGACAATCGGAGGACAGGATAAAAAAACTGAATGCTATAAAAATATAAATCCGTGGTGTGATTTAGAGGATACGGTAAATAAGTAGGCACTACTTCACAAAATAAGTGATCGATAATTTTGCAAAAAATAATGCATGTATATTTTGTTTTGTCAGAAATTGTTTCGAACATTTCAACAGAAATTAAGATACCTATATTGCTTGGAGTTGGTAGTTGGTACTAATAATCGAAAACTACAATAGATTGAAACAAGTGTAATGACGCGATAATATTAAAAAAGAAAAAGCTTGAAAACTCGATGAAGTTAAGTATAAATTATACATGCATTTTGAATACTCATTTGTGTGCTTTAAATATGAGTTTCGATCAGTGATATTATAATGTTTAGAATAAACTATGTAAGGTTAGTTGTTGATGTTTCATTAGGTAGATGCTTTAATTACAAAATGTACTAAATTTAATCTATTCACTGCTTAAATTTTAACATTGACGCGTTTCAATAGATGAATTAGTGTTCACTTTTAACTGCAGAACTTGCAAAGCTTAAATAAAAAACTGCACAACTAGTTAACTGTTAAAAAAATACAGCTGTACTTTCAATACTTATTTGCGGTATGAGCTTACCTAAACCGACCGAGTCGAGTACAAATAGTAGTAGACAGATTTGTAAATGTATCTATATTTTATATAGTAATACTGTGGTAATTTACAACAATGCTAATCATAACTGAGCTATTTAGTGAAATCTTTGGTTTGTATTTGATTTGAAATCTTAAACGACTCGACTAAATCTTCAACGTGTAATCGCCTATCAGTTAGCCTCTTAAAAAAGTATAACATAGACATTGGATATTGCCTGGGTAATCGTCCAGCCTTGGAAGTAGGGCGATGCAGGAGGCTCGGACCTTATGGTCTGGGTATATGTTCTGTGTATAGACCTTCTCTATATTATTATGTAGATTGTTGTACCTAAGACGAACCACGCAGTGTGCTAGACGATGTGGCTTTATCCAGTTATACACGTGGAAGACCACTCGGCCGACGAAGAGTCCAAGAAGTGGTAATTATTATTGTACGGGTTTTCACTGGTTTATAATTATAATTATTTTTTATTTTTAGAAACGTTATGTACCTACATGTGTATAATATAATCAACCTATAAATCGCTTGAAACGTAATGGTTATGCGTTCTCGTGCGAATCACATAGCAGACCGTCTCCAAGGTAACCCTGGTCGCCAGCTATATACCTATATAGCTATGCCTAAGTCATGTGTATAAATATATGTGTTCACGACATGCCAGTAATGGGTGTAGGTATATACAAACGTGGGCAAACGGCAATCGCTTTACGGTAATGCGGTTTTTGTGTACAATATTACTGGTATTATGAAATATTATAATTATAATAGTTTATTATAAGCGCGGTAGGTAACCCTCTCACCAGAAGATCCCTCCCCCCAATGGCGAATCGTCCGTCCTATACTTGCTAATCAAACGCAATGTACAGAGTGATCCAGACACTAATTTTCTTTGAAAATAATCGCAATTTTGTAGTTGTTTTTTTTGGAGAAATGTCAGTCAATGCTACATTTTACAGTATTAAACAAATTTCAAATTTACTTTATTTACTTGTGTTACTTGAGTAGATTGACTGGTCTGCCAACGTTTCTCAATACATGCACATTTCATCTACAGGGTTTTGATTTGATGTTGCTGCTAGACTATAGTCTTCCTGGCAGAAGTGATAAAAATATTTTCAAAAAGGAAACTTATAAAAATTTGATATTACTACCAGAGAAAATGAGTGTCTTACGTTAAATTCATCACCCTGTATAATGGACATATTTTTGCCGATACCTGTTAATTCATTCACACAAATTTACTACGGTTAAAGTTAAATTTTTCGCTTTTTGGGAGGTTTCCTTAGTAAATATTTGGTTATTTTATAATATTGTAAATGTTCATAAATAAAAGCGTTATAATTGTAAAACTACAAAATTGTAATCATTTTCTGAGAAAATTAGTTTCTTCAAATAAATGGATCACTGAAGTTTGTAAACAAACGTCATAGTTTAAATTCTAAGTGTAAATGTAAGTGTTAATACTTAACTTTATAGTACCTATACTTAAACATTTACAATGAACAAATATAATAATATTCAAATTACTTAAGTTTCATTTTTTTTAAATTTGATTTCATTCAGTTGGAATGAGTATATTAAAGCACACCTGTAACCTGTTAAAAGATAATACTGTATTACACAGGCCCACAATTGTGTACTTATAATTTATATCCTTAGAGATCAGACCTACTGTTAACAGGACATTTTGGTGCACTGATTTCAAAAATCATATCAGTTTGCTCAGATTGGCAATAGTCTGATACCTATATAATTTACTACTTAAAACTTATACGTCAATTTAATTAGTTAAAATTCAAATTGTTTTATTGAATCTTTATTTTATTTTATTAATACCTATTATAATGAATAAGTGCTATTAAAGTAAATATAATATGAATAAAATTCTTAAAACATTTTGGGTTTTACCTATGTGAAAAATATGAAAATACATCATACACTTGTTCGTTTTTAAAACTTAAGTTTTGGAGTTAGCATTAGCTTAAGCAGTATATATAGGTACATACTATTTATAATTTTATCACAAACATAAAACACTTACAGAATATTTTATTAATAGGTAATATATCAAGTCAATATCTACAAAACTAAAGCAAAATAATATATTTTCTATATCAGGATATCCATGTTAGTAAATAATTTAATATTGTAAATCTTAAGGAAACAAAATGTGTGTTTATTGTAATTGAAGATGAAATTATTTGAGATTTGTGTAAGAAGTAGTATAGAATTTTCAACTTTTTTTTAGAATATTTTTCAACCAATTGGTGTTTATAGTGCCTATCTTTGGCACAGCTAGAGGAGGTCTAAAGAAGTTCAAATTCTTCTAAACTCCTTCATGCTTTACAAAATAACAGCAGCTAATCATATAGCTCCTGAGAAACGTTTTTAGTTTTTCTAAAATTCTGTAGGAGCTATAAAAGTTTTAAAAAGTTCGAAACTTCTTCTGCCCTCTAGTTACACCAATATAACCTACTATTGGACCAGCTAAATGTACCTATGTACAAAAAAGCCGCATGCTAATGCGCCAATTTAGGCGCATGAGGTCACATGTCTATAAAAATTATAAACTAAAAGCGATAAAACCACTTTCAAATAAACGATTTTTTTTCTTTAAAAAAAAAGTTTGATTACAGATTTTTGAGAATATTGTTCATATTGTTTCCCCACTCTAGATCTGTCTTCAGTCAAATTTTCAGACCTTTTTAACCATAACGCTATCGATCGAATATGTAAGAGTGAATTTGTCAAACATTCTAATTGCTATACATAGTAGGTACATTTCAGTGGTCCTATAAGAAGTTCCGTGCAAAACTTGTACTTAACTCTCAAACACAAAAAATTTTGATTTTCTGAATCGGACAATTATTTTTCACATAAAAAAAAAATTAAATCCATTTTTTTTTAGTCAGAAAAATATGATTTATTTTATAAGAGTAAAATGTAATTTAAATTTTTGCCGTAACCAAATCCCAACTCCTCGCCGTGTGATAAATACATGGATTTTTATTCATAAGTATTATTTACTTGTCTAGGGTCAGTTCTAAGACTCAAATTTCGTAAGGGTAACAGAGTACATACACCTACTTTTAAGTAAGCTGCAGGTGCAACATATATCCCCAGTTTTTATTTTTTTGCTTTAACACACCAACAGTAAAAGATAATTGGAACGGGCAACTGACCACTCTGTCCGTACGCTTGAATCCCGCCTCTGCATTAATTGTCATTTCTCAAAAAACAGACAAAATTGTCTCAGCTTTCCGATAACGTATGAAATATAAATTTAAATGTATGAAGTAGAAAACTGATATTTTATGATTTGGTAGGTACTTAAAACGTTTGACAAATTCACTCTTTCTTTCTGGCGAAATGCGCAATGATTATTGTTTTTAGTTTGTTTTATGTGGCCGTTTGGTGTATTATTAATGCAAACGCTGCCGCCGTTATGTGCGTTTAGCCGTTTTAGTGTCGTTCGCCGCTGTTGTACAGATAGCAATGGCGGTGTCGGCGGCGCCGTCGGGGAGGAGATCGGTTTTTCCGCGGTGGCGGTGCGGGCGAAGTGGCGGCGGTCGATTGTCGAGCCGCCGCCGCCGCGGCCGTAGACACCGGGAGAGCGGCCGCCGCACGACCACCGCGGCGGCGAGGGCGTCGAGGTATATAGACGTCGCGCGGGTACGCAAGAGCTGGGCGGCCGGGGTCGACTCCCACCGCGGACGGCTGCGGCGATGGCGGTCGGCCGATGGGCGGTGGGGACGGTGCCGGTCGTCCCGCCTACCGCCGCCGCCCGCCGGACCGGTCCGACTGGTTGCACCCAGCTGCGGCGGCCGAGCATCGTGCCCGGCACATCACTCGTGGTCGCCGCGTTCATTGCGAGGTCGACCGTCATCCGCACCGCGTCGTCCGTGCGCACGTTACTCGCGTTTCTTTCGTCCCGCTAAACGTTTTCGACGAAAATATTTAATTATTATTAAATGATAATAATATTACGGCTATTTTTTTTGGAAAACCGCAAACCATTAAATTAGTTCATCGCAAGTGCTACATAAATTTATAATAATAATAATTCATATTATTATTATAATCGCCGGTTATTGTTATTATTTTTAAAATTCAAACTGTCGTCCGCGCGAAGTGCTCGCCCACCGTCTCAACGGCGCGTCGTCCGTGGCGCTCGCGCGTCCGAGCTTTTTTTTTGTTGTTTTGGTGTTATACTCGAGCGCTCAACACTAACGCGTTCGATAAACATGAAGTGATCTCTCCTCTCTTTCTCGCTCTTTGTTTGTGTTCTAGACCAACAATCGTTTAACTCCATTTTTCGTGTCTTAACCGGCAATTTCGTTTTGTGTGTTAGTGTTTTTTCCCCACATTTTTACCATCAATATCGGTTTTTTTTAATCAACCCGAGTCTAACGCACAACGGCCATCACGCTGAATTACGGAGAGATCGGAAGCCCGTTCGGAGGGGGCGCGCAACAACAACAACAGCAGAGATCAACCGGGACGCCGAACAACAACAACAACGGTATGGCACCTGGCGACACGCTGGACTCGTCCAACCTGGGCGGCGGCTCGGGCGGCAACAATCCGGCCGGTGGACAACAAGACACCGGTGGCGGCGGCGGCGGCAATTCGGCCGGCAACGTGACGCCCATACCGACGTCCAAGTCGGCGTTCATCGAGCTCCAGCAGAATCCGTACAACGCCGTCCGCGGCGTCTACCACCCGCACCCACACGCCCATCCGTCGCACCCTTTCAACCAACACCACAGCCCCCAGCACCACGGCGGCAACGCGGGCTCGCTGCCCCATCATCACTCGGACGCGGCCGGCGGGTTCGGCAGCCCTCGGGGCGCCATGACCGGTTACCCGTTCCCGACAATGCATCAAAACTCCTACTCGAGCTATCACATCGGATCGTACACGCCCCAGTGTCCGTCGCCCACCAAAGACGGTGAGTTATTACACTATACAGTATGGTTATCTTGAAAAATCGAGCCAAAAAAAATCAAATCTGGTAATCCGGCCTGAAGGACCATACGGTGGTCTGACAAAATTATTAGAGAAAATAAAATAGATACGACAATCACATAATTTGACTATTTATCTTGTATACACAGCAAATCAATGAGAAAATGGTCATTAATAGTAATACAAAAATAATATAATGCACATTCAAAAGTCTGTGTAGGACAGAGAAATTTGTAGGGAAAAAAAAAGGGTATGAATTAAGGTGTGTTTGATAAAGCAAAGCAACAGATTTAGTTATATAGAAAGGGATTTTTTTTTACCATTATGAATATTTTATGATTAAAGCTATTGTAATAATATGCGTTGTGTACAAATGAAAGAAAGCATTCGCTGGTAAAGCTTTACTTATGGTAAAATTCTGTAAAAAAAATTACTATTAAATAGTGGATTCCACCCACCGCGTCACTTATCTAATTTCAATCAGCTCTCCAATAGATAATAATAAAAGAAGAGCTAAAAAAAACAATTATATAGATCTTATTGTCTGGCAGAAATGACGATCGATTTGATAAGAGATGGTAGTAAATAAAAATAAGCAAATATTATAACTGGCCTTCTAAATTTTAATTAAGACGGGGTCACTACTGTTTAAAGCGTCTCCTGTGTCTAAATTATTATAATAATATCTCTTTGGACTCGGTCGAAAAGCTTTTGACAATGCCTACATAGGAACGCATTTTTTTTTTTATCTATAAACCAATTTAATGTACCGCAGTGTTTATTAAACATTGTAAGCGGCGATAATATTTATATACAATATCGAATTCAGTAGAAACTAGAAAATAGTAATGTAATGACCGATACCTGGTATACCACGCGACCGTTAACAACTCGGTGTTTTATACATTATACCAAAGCAATTACCAGCCACCGAGATTTTAATCTGTGTTTATTATATGCACTCACACATAGTTAGTATGCAACTGCAACTGTGTATAAAGTTGCAAATGGACCAGAGCATAATATATTATTAAAGCGTCCCCTCATCTGATTCTGTCGCTTATAAATCCACAGCACAAGCATATACATACAGGTGAATTTTTATCGATTTCCACGCATATACATGTTGACAATATCAACAATGGCGGTCGCCATTGCTTGGTCATACACACAGGGAGAGACATACTCAGGTGGTATACGATGCGGGTACCGTGAGCGTTTTCCCGGTGCACGCGCACGATGACTAAGCGCTTTCTTTTCACAGTCCTCCATCGCCGAACCCGGTCGGTTTTTCTGCCGTATCATTCCCATGGCGGCACAAAATACAAATACATTAAACAACAGCTCATATTATCATAGTCAATAACGGCAGCAATTTAATCTCGCACTACCAGTATCGTTAATCTTTCCTGATAGGTTTGGTTCCATGCCTCGCGCATTCAAGCTATCAATCCTGAATCTTGCAAGATTTCTGATATTATTATGTATTTGGTCGTCGTCCCTTCCTATGCGGTCTCCTACATCATCACTCTTCCCACACACTTCAAAAGTGTCTTAAAGGTAACTGTCTTCACAGTCCATCCCTTCGCAGCAGAGTCCTTTTTGTCGCCGCAAGCTATAAAACATTTTTAGCAAAATCGTAGGCCAATATTTAAGGCAGCAGCTATCGAATGCTGCCAACATTGAAGATGCCTTCAAGGATTGATCGAATTTGATTTGGACTCTCAGTGTCCATGTAGATAACCCCGTTCCGTGCGCTATGAATCCACTCCCATCAGTAATAGCGCTATGCTGTGCAGTGTACTTACTACAATTATTACCTACTGTGTACTATCTATGTAACTCGGACATGCATCATCCGCAACACATAACAATATGATATCGTTTTAGTGCATAGGCCGTGGTGACGGTGGTCGTCGTGTGCGCCAGACAAACTAGATTTCCGACCAGATATATATGGACCCATGTACATATAGTTGGTACATGCACACACAATGTAGGCTATATCGTTGTTTCCTGCCTTTAATCTATACACAACGTGTATAGGTAAGACCACGAGCAACAATGGGATCACGCGCGTGACTGGGTTGTTCCCCTGCGAGCTAATAGTTTTTTGTGTTTTTTTGTTGTTTGGTTTTTTTTTTAATATTCCGGTTAATCAATAAATGTAATATTATATTGCGTATGAGAGTCAAACGCTCAATATGCAAGCGTGTATAGGAAAATCTGTCGATTTATAGACAATATACCTAATAATCATAATATTATGTGGTTATACATGTTTGCAATATTATGTATTGTTTGCGTTAGCCCGGCGAGGACTGTGTGTGTAACATTAACCAATTAAAACCGGCCAATAATATTTATAACAACGTGCTTATGGCGTTTTAACAGCGCGTTATATTATTCGTTAATTACCCTCGAGGCTCGTGTATGTACACACATACCTACATAAAACCGTCGACGATGATTTGCAAGTGGAGACGTTTAATGCGGTTTATAGTTCTGTTTATTTTTTATCGCCCGGTAGATATTACGCAATACAGCTGTTATGATAAAATATTTCACAACCGAATTTACATTTTATAAATAATTTTAACGCTTCTGAGCAAAAAAAAAAATTGCCCGTATAATATGTTAAAAATATTCATTAGATGCACTCGACGCTAATCCGGAAATGAATCTACAAATAAACAAGCGCACAGTGCACCGAGATTCTTATACCGTCCAAAATAGCCGCAATAGTCATATATGAGACATATAGGTAAAAAAATGATTCTTGTGCTCACGTATGCGTTCATTGTTTTACAACGGCCATGGCCTGAAATAGACACACACGGCCGGACACGACGAACGCATGTAGAAAGATTTGTCTTGTACAATTAGGTTTTCCGACCAAATGTTGTCATAGGTCATAGGTATTGCTAATAGTTATATGCGAAAACAGAAAATGACATGTTATGTGAACACAAAAATATAGTCAAAAAAAAATTGCTTACAAATTCAAGGACCGTCCGGTTATGCCGAGTGGGCGCGATTTGCATAATGAGCGAATTATACTAATAATAGTGTGTGCGATTTTTTTTTCACCTCAACCCGTGATCGAATTACTTTTTTGAAATTCATATAAACAGTAAAATAAAATAAAAACCCGACCAACTGCAGTTGACAGAATGAAATTATAGGTCGTAGGTGCGTATGATTGTGTGATGATATTTTATACATTAATCAAATTTCTGTATTATGTCATTTATTAAATAAATAGATAAAAATCTCATGACGACCAAACCGTTTGGACGGGAGGAAATGCAACGACTGAAATTATACACTCATATACATATAATGTATTATTTATACCATCAGCTATTATGGTCTACTGTTTACCTAATATTTATTATGTTCGCCGTTTGTTATAATAATATATTCAATTGTAAACCTTGTCTGCGCAGTTTAAGTGAAAGAATACGATTTTCACACGAACTGAAATATGTATAAACTAGGTAGACCTGTGGAGGCGAGGCTAGTGCTACCCCGGCAAAAAGTTATAGAGACAATATTTATGTAGACATTTTTTTTTCAAAAGATTGAGAACCGACCGGAAGTAATTGTACGGGGCAAGAGTGCACCGAGTGTACATAATTCGAAATGTTGCAAAGTCAACGGGTCCTGCTCGGAACGCGGGTTTTTCCCTCATTAAGTTCCTCTTCTTGTCGCCAGCAACGAGGCGACACGCCTGCATTTTTTCCCCTTTGGAAAATAGCATAGCAGAAACGCGCGCTTATCTTAACATTATTATTATTGTTGATATCGTTGGGCTTGCTTTTTTTTTTTTGTTTTGTGACCGAATCGGTCGGTAGCTGTATACAATAAAATATTGTATTATAGCCTAAAAAATATTATCTTAATTCGTTGTAATGCGCCGCGAACGCACCATAAAATGTAGGGCGGAAAAAATCGCATTCAGCCGGCTTTATTATTTCTATATATTTACATTATATTCACCGAGTAAATTGTAAATGGTTTTCCACAGCGCCTAATTGAAAGAAAAAAAATGAAAATAGTATTACTTTTACACTTACACACACACTATGCTATAGGTTGTTTCAAAAATAATACAGTCCAAACGTAGTTTTTTTTCAGTTTCACGCTGAGCTAAAACCGTCGACTCGTTGAACTCACAAATAGCATACAACTTTAAATACCTAAGATAAAGAGGACGGATGCTCGCGTACCGGACAGAGATGTGCAAAGATGCAGGCGCGGCCAGGGAAAGTATAGATAAAGTCGTGTAGGGTAAGCCACTATAATGGTTTGTACAGAGGTAAGGCGAAAAAGGAGATTTGCGAGACCAAAGTATAGGATATATTAAGTTCCCCCGAGTATAGGTGACATTCGATTCTGATTTCTGAGAGCTGCTGTAGTGAAAATCGAGTAGGCAGGCTGGAAAACAAAATATATGCAAACGACTCGGCCCACGTGGACTGCTGCGTAAAAAAACAGTTTGTAAAAAATAACAATAATAATAATAACAATATAATTGTAATGCGTGATTTACCGAAACGCCACTTACGTGCAATTATCCATTTAAATCGTTCGGCCGATCATTAACCCGTTTTTTTTCTTCTATCGGGGGGTACTCCTTATATAATTACATAATAGGCGTTGGAAGGCAAATTTGTCCGGCGTGTGTCCGTGTATATATACTTGGCTTAAGCATAATAACGGTGGCAGAGACATCCACTCTACACAGGCGTCGATGGTAATTATTATTTGTTTAAATCGTAAGACACGGCCAGTTCTATTAACGAGCGACCGGAGCATACAACTAATTAGGACACATTATTATTATTGTGTAAACAAAATACCAGTTAAGTTTTACCGTGATAGCGTTTAAGTTAGAAGAAAATAAAATATAACAAGAAAAAACACATGCTATTGAAGGATGCAGTGTGGTCAACTCCGGACTTTTGGGTTGGGATCGGTTAAGAAAAACCTAGTGTTTAGGGGAGAGGGTATATATTAATTCTCGTTGTGTCCCACCCCTCGTGCAAATCATACCTTATAGGTGTCCGACAAAAGCCAAAGGCGAATCGTTTCCCTAGACAGGGTATATATGCTCGCGGTAAACCTATAGTTAGAAAATAATATATAAAACACCCCCGAGCCGTGTGCCTGTCGATTCAATTGCAGGTTCTTTGAGGAAATAATTTTATGTATACATCCTATACCGCCTATATGCATGTGCATACCTACCTACACATAATATATATACCTACATGTTGTTCGTTATCATTAAGTCGGCCTGAGGGCGGCGGGGCCAGCTGTAATCATGCAGGTAAATCGTCATTGCTCGAATCGCGATTCGTCCGGTTGTTATTACTTGTACTGAACATTTTTTTTTTGTTTTTTATCGGATACCGTACATTTATACGTTATGTTTATAAGAAAAGTATTCAAATGATATTCATGCGATGTACGCCCTTACCCGCGGGCCGTCGAGTCCGCCCGAGGTTCTCGTATAGAATATGTTTAGCTTTCCTTACGAACTATATAAAGAACTTCTTTACATAAGTGCATCCACCGGGGAAAATAACAAGAGATGATGTATAACAATAAGTAAAAAGTAATATGTATTCAAGTAGTACACTAGTTATTCGTATTATGTAGTTTTTGAAACAAGTGAGCAGCTTTCCATTTGAATACACAACATTTCTATCACTCCCCAAACCACTTGTAATTTCATTCCAAATTTTTCTGATGCTTCTTTTGCGGTGTTGGTTTTTGTATTAAAAACCTAACAGACTGACCGAGTAACCTAGACCTGAACGCTTTAAGTCATACTCTGCGTATGATTAATCACACCAGAATAGAAGTTTAACAGTTATGTGCTTAGGTATATCGTACGTTGCGTTTATCAAAAAACAATTAATTGATTGATCTGAAATTGATAGTTATACCTATATATATATATATATATATATATATGTAAATCGTGAGTCTGGCTGTTGTTTTGCTAAATTATTTTTAGTTGTATAATTTGCTCATCCGGTCGACTCGGTCCGTGCTTTACCCGGCATCTGATTGTCGTACTAACCAACATTGTTGTTGTCGCAATACTTTGTTCCAGTATAACTTCCTGACAATTTTTTATTTATTTTTTTTCCTCTGATACAATAATTTTTTTTCACACACGCCAGTATGGTATAGTGCTCCCGTCCTTGGGTCCATTTACACATGCGACGGACCGCATCCAATGCATATAGGTAGTAGGTATTTCTATTGTATACCCTTAGATCCGGCACTTGGAGCGTTTGAAATTGTTTTATAAATTTTCCATCAATAATTATCGCCAAAGTCGAGTTGGGCTAATAGGCGACTTGCGAGAAACGCATCGATTACCAACTAGACCATTTCGGTTTAGATTTAGTTGATTAAATCAACCATTTAAGTTAGTCAACTTAGCCAAAAACCAATTGTACAGTGTTATACATATACATATACCTATACATATAATATATATATTAACACAGAATAAGCAAGACTTTATATAGAAAATATTATTATATGTATATACCCAAGTGTTAAACATACGTATATGTATATAATATAACGCGCATTATTTCGCGTTAGACCTTGTCACATTTTTAACGTACCGCTGTATTATTATTTTTATTTTCTTTATTGTTATTATTATATCCTTTTTTTTTTACCATACGCGCATGAAAATGTGTCTGTGTCTGTACGTGACGGCCGCCGCCCCAAAATATTATGCTTGTGGAAGTATGGAAAAAAAAATATACTCAAACCAAAATATAACCACACACAGTCGACTTTGTATTCCGAGTGCAGAGAAAACCTATACACGAACAAAAATAATATTTACCTGTATCCGTATAGTTGAGTTGGACCGCAAGTTTGAGCAAATCCCACAGGTTGTGCGAGCCTAGACGACAATCTCCTATAAAGTAGCGGTTTAAGGTCAATCTTCTCCGATTCCCACATACCACTTTTTCCTGTGCCATTTTCACGAGACTTACAGCTGAAGACAATTAGCTGCAAACCAAGCACGCCGTTAGAGCCGACCACATACCACGGCCAATGTCCACGGTTATAACGGGTATATTAAAAGACAAAATAGAGTTTACAACGATCGCTGAAGAAAATATGTTTAAAATTCTCAACGAAACGGAAACGTGATTGAAAATAAGTATTTTAGAGTTAAGATTTTTGTAGTTGAGGCGGGAGGGTTACCATTTTAAGCGCTTATTTTGATGATTTTAAGTGTACCTACTTCAAGTGCCGAGCTCTGCATATTATATGACTAAAAACAATATTATTATCACTTGCTGTGTAAGATTCGATATGTACATGTTTCACAGACTAATAAGTAAACAGTATAATTAATATATCATACGGACAAGCGCGTCAGTTTATATTCTTTGGAATGTACAAGTTTATAGATAAATATAATATATATATATATGTATTTTATTTTGATAAACAGTCTCTCACAATATGTCATGCACATAACATAACATTATACTTGTAAATCTATACATATTTTTTTTTGTATTGTAATTATTTTATCTATCGTCAAATTGAAATTTAATTAGTCAGCTTCTGTTTAATTTTGGTTTTTTTTTTGTGTTCATAAAAAAAATAAGCGGTTATCGTCGTCGGGCGATTTTTTTTTTTTTATTGGCTCGTAAAAATCTATATAGGCGACATATTATGTGTACTCCAATCAAGGGTCACGGACGATAATAGTGATATTATGTATGCTATAGTGTATGTGATCTTATGAGCACAAGCGGAATAAAATGCAATGATTTTTTTTTTATGTATATTATATGTATTATTATTTAAACAGTAATAATATTTAATGCGCTATAGTGTCGTGTGGAGATAGTGAGAACTGAACGGGTATAATATTAATATAAAGGTCACAGCCTCAGTGCTATCGTTTGACATTATAAAAAAAATTGATATCTTCTATTTTAACACACAAAATAATAACATGACTGAATCTCTTGTTCGGCTGTTACATGTCTAGAAAAATATCGAGACGAGAGCAAAATTAAAATGTATGCATTGCGATAATGTATAAATAGAATATATTAATTTCTTTTAGCTCCTAGCACCATTTTGTTATATAATAATATAATAATAATATCCTATTATTATAATCTACTAAACGGTACTGCAAGTAATAGATTTTGTACAGACAACTATACACGTTTAACCGCTGTTATAACATGGACATGTGTTGTCATTAGTGTTCGATATAGGGTCTGTTCGTTTATATTCAATAGCTGAAAAACAACAACATTAGCGTACAAGTCATACGCACGCAATTAAATATCACCGTAATTCGAGTGAGAAACAAAAAACATGCTTAGATATGTACTTCCGTTATCTATAAAGATCTCGGCATTGAGGCCAAGAAAATGTATAAATAACCTTCAAGGCTATGATCAATAATTATTACCATGCTTCCAAGTTTAAGCGAAGTAAAAAAAATGGTCAATTGAAATTCAGCTAGTAATTGTTTTTCGGATTTAATTATAATTTTGAACTTTATAATACGAACTGTCTATTTAAATATCGTACAAACTTGCTATAATTATTTCCTACGTAAAGTATAAATTATTAAACTAGAGTTTGAGTTTTATATGTCTATCCTAATAAACGTATCATAGCAGAATAGTATTAACTATTAAAAGTACTTGTTAAAATCAAAGTTCTTGTAAAACTCTAAATAATTAATTGATCTGTAGCTCCGAATAAACAAAAACAAATCGTAACCAATTTGTATTAGCTACTTGAATATAAAAAAAAATAAGGATGTGTTGTAAAAAATACACCTCTTGAGTTTTTAACGGTTTAAACGTAAATACCTAATTAAGTCTTTAAAAACAGGTTTTTTTAACGACTCAGGTAATATAATAATATAGACTATCTGCTTTAACCGTGAGTTATTGTATCATTTCTACTGTACTTGCGTTAATATCGCAGAAATGGTTGCTAAGTGTACAATTTCACAGTATTTGTTTTTGACACAAGACAATTAAGTTTTAACCTAGTCAATGAATTAAGCTAGTGAATTGTGTGAACACCGCAACAGACATTGTCTGGGACTTACATTTACCGTATAATACGATTAATTAGGATTCACAGATATAAAAAAAACGGACGTCTGGTGCGAGGTACGGCAAGTACAACAAACGGGAGGAATTAACCTGGAGGGTGAGTATATATGTGTTATGGGGGGCGGTGGTCGGCCAGGTGAGCTGGCCTGTACAGTCCCCGGGGGCTAATACATTTTTAATTTCTCCGTTGTCGGCGGCCATGATTGGACGGACGGGGGACCTCTGATCAATGGTCGTTGGCAAGCAAAGGGAGAAAGGTAGGGGAAGGGTGTATAGGTATATAGGTGTAGTATGAGTCCAGTGTCGTTGTTGTTTTTGGGTTGGAATATTATGTTTTTTTTTTCTATAGAGTAGTTTCAAAAGTTAGATATTATAATATATATTATTCGACAATATTATGACATGTCTGTCTGTTTTTTTCGTCCCACAGAAAAATGCGGTATCGTTGAAGACGGAAGTCTCAGGGTGAACGGCAAAGGAAAGAAAATGCGAAAGCCCAGGACTATTTACTCGAGTTTACAACTGCAACAGCTCAACAGGCGTTTCCAGAGAACCCAATACCTAGCTCTACCCGAAAGAGCTGAATTGGCCGCGTCCCTAGGCCTTACACAAACTCAAGTAAGTCTTATATATATATAGATACATTAGTTTCGTTATGATTTATAGCTTATTAAGCGTTTTTCATAGTAATAAATCATTTATATCGTTAACGTTATATTATATTGTAACATAATATAATATAATATTGTTCCCAGACAGCAAAAAAAAAAAAAAAAACACCAACAAATTATATTTTTAAAATATATATTTATGTTAAATTTTGCTGTCTGGGTTATATAACAAGTGTTATACATATTACAATACAATGTAATATATTATACACATGAATATCGCGTTTTATTTAAGGGTCTGCCGGAGGAGAATATTGTTTGCATTGCCCTTCCCATAACCCTAAAATTTAATCGTTACAATATAAATTATGAATTAAATATTATAATATTGTATGTATGTGAAAAAATATTTAAAATATTATACATACTATATATATATATATATACATTATACATAAAAGCAACACGGCTAAATCCGGTATACGACGCACGGTAAATGCACAATCATTTAATGATTTTAGTTTAAACTTGGATATAATTTTGTAAGTGATAATAATCATTAGATATAATATAAGGCACCGTGTTGTGTTTGTAGCATCATACACAATACACAACAATAACGACGGCCGACAACAATGATCATAATGTAATATTATATGGTTTGTTGATCGCTCAGTGCATCATTGTGCACGCAGTCGCCTTTTCATCTATACTGTGTATAGACTACATGTACTTAGGCCTCAGGCAACACACGAGGAGCTCGCCTGCGGTGACATAGGATACCATAGAGTACCTATAATAGCGTATAGGTAACTGTTGCGTTGTTGCTCCAAGTAGGTACAGTGAATAGTAAAATAGTAATAGTAAAATTATGAACAATTAATAGGAAATAAAAAAAAAACAAGTGCAAAATTTTGATTCTATTGAATGTTTAGCAGATATTTTTTTTTAACACTTGAAGCATCCAACGAAGGTATAATTACCGTAGTATTACATATTGATATATTCGCCACGCCCACCAAGACCGTACACGCATATTATATTATAGTCTTACCCGATAATCCGCCGGAACCCTCTGTACACTTAAGGTTAGTTTGTGAAGCTTGTAAAACGGTCTTGTACGTTACCCGTCCAGACTAGAAGAACAAAACAACAACATTTCTGTCGATACTCGGTTATGCATATAACAATTATTATCTAGGAGAGACGCTATGTGTGTGAACGTACTATTATATCAATGGGATAACGCGCCGTCGATTGTGAAAGAAATACTAGCTTATAGGTATATATATCCTTACCTAATTAAGTTAGCTATACTTGTTTTACTTTCGTCAAACTTTGATTATAGAGTCCAAAAAAGAAACGCAATAAAATAAGCGGCTGACGTCAAGTGTGCAGACTGCAGTTGTTAATAGTATAATATAAAACAATTGTATAATTCAACAGCTTTGATTTTGCCATGTCAACCGAATTAGTAGCTATATTTTTATGAGACACTTCTTGGTTGTCATATTTTGTATTTGCTTGCCCCAAAACGGGTTTATTATGCCTTGTGACGACAAACTTTGATCGATTTGGATCTGCTAATGATACAGAATTTGGAATTGAGTAGATTTAGCAGCTGGACACGTTTTGGGGAAAATCAAAAATGGGTGCCCCTAGACGAACCGACGGCTAGTTGTGTTGACATTATACATGTATTCGGACCGTATAGTCGTTTGTAGGCGTTGACTATGCCGACTATGACTAGATATATATTACTATGTAATGTACTGTGTACCTACTCGGCGACCGGAGTATCGGTTGGGCGGGGAAGGGTGGAAACGGTGGCTTAAAAAAGGGGATAGGAAAAAAAAAACACTGTTACACCGACTACACAGTCCGTCGCGCTTACGTGACTCCGAGAATTTCTCAAGGATACGACGGATTCGACATGCCGCCTCCGATTTTTCTGTCGCCAGCACAGAAGACGATCCGAGCGTTTCTTCACGGGACCCGGTGGAAGCAAAATAAAAATAGAAAGATAAAATAATGTCGGAGAGGGGGGGGGGCAAAAAAAACGTTATACGGAAAAATCCGAATTTCCTTCCGATCCGTTCCGATACGATAGAGACGTGTCGAATTATTTCTACGGTTTCTTTGATATCGAGCCGATGGCGATAGACTTGGCGAGAGAGAGAGAGAAGAGAGAGAGTGAGGTGGAGACGTCGGTGCGCCGAAAGACGTTAAGACGGACAACGATGCGGAAGACAGTGAGAAAACAAAAAGGTAAAAAAAAAATTATATAAATAAATAAATAAAAATAAGCGACCGCCGACGCCCATTGGTGTGAAAGATTTTTTTTTTAGTTTTTTCTTATGCCCCGCTTCCACCGTTAATATATTTTCGAGTCCAATGCCCACGGACACGTTTAAAAAACTGTCGATAATCGACTGACGTAAAACATAAATAAAAAAAAAATTCACCTAAATAGCGAAACGATGGAGAGAGAGAGAGAGAGACCTCGGGTATCTATATAATATCATAGCTTGTATATACTATGTCCAGGTGCAGTAGCTATACAATATTATTATACTGTATTACGCCAAGTATATAGAAGATAGACAGCGTCACATCGAGTTTTCAATGACCGCCTAAAAAAAAATGAAAAATGAAGGGGAAAAAAAATACACAAGAATATCGATTCGCCGCAGATTTCACTGCACGCTATTTGCTTTATGGATATCATTATTATTCTATATTATATTAATTTATTCGGCGTTCGCCGCCTTACGGCTGTTGTATAAGTATCTTATATCGAAAACCGACGGATGACAATGCGGACTACATTTTTGAACGCGCCGTTCCGCCCGAAATTTCACATGTCTTTACCGCCGCCGCCGCCAACTCAATGCTTGACTTGAATTATTTTTAAGATTTTTCATGGGCGCGTCGCAATAGTAGAGAAATGAATTATTCGAAATTATCCGAGTTTGTGTTTTGGAACCTGCCGGGTAAGTCTTGATGTCTCGCCAAGCTGAGATCCAGAAAGGGGCGCAACTTTATAGTAACCCAACGCTTATATTATTATGTAAACATGAGGTAACGTCTGTACTTAGACCTAACCAAGACATAGGACCGGTTAGAGAGAGACACAAGGTTACCGTTTAGTCAGCTTTAGTTGTAGTGCAGGCCGAACCGCACTAGGTATTGAGTTCATATTACTATTCGAAAATAATTTTGTTTTCTAAATCAATTAAAGCCGGTACATTTTTTAAAAACTATGAGTAGTCTCAGACATCCGCCCAACGAACATGCTATACATAGTCTTGGTACTTAGTAAGTAGGTAAATACCGACGTAATAGCAATAATAATATGATCGGTAAAATAAAGTTGTCGCTTAGGATGTATTCTTTATTTATTATACAATTTTTATAATACCTAAACGTTTTTGTCCCTTTCTATGTATTTTTAAATAGATATATTTTTTTTAACCGAGTTTTTAGCCATTACTTATTTTCACTTTATTAATGCCGGGAAGTCGTGTGAACTATGTGCGTCGCGTTAACATTATACGGTTAGGGTTGCGAGAAGTGGAGGGAGTAGAAAAGTCGATAATATTATACTTGTATCGTGCAGCAAGCGGCTGTATATACCTACATTTAACGTGTATATGTGTGTATGTTCATGTAGTTATATCTATAGTGGCGTTGCGTGAGAGGCGTTACTGGCTGACTACAAGCTCCGGTAGGGGTTGACGCGACCACGACGGAACGGGGTTGGTGGAAAAGGGTGAAAGTTCGATTTTTAACCCTAAAACGACATGCCACGCCCGCGCCTTCGCCCTCGAACCGCCGAACCAACCCTCGACACTGCAATACACATACAAGTAGATACAAGTATGCACTGCAATGTCCACAAAGCTCCTCGTGTATAGAGTATGTATGTCTATATATAGAGTACAATATGTCCATGTAAGTCTGTTTGTCATTCGATGTGTAGACATAAGTAGAATAGTGTACATTTTTTATCCCTAAACAAAAAAGTAAAAGCTATAATAAAAATTAAGTAACAACAATGAAAAATATATACATACCTATAAGCGAACGATGAATAAAATATAATCAGCGCACACGCTAGATGATGTAAAAAAAATATATACCTAGGTAGTCATAAGCTACAAAGTTTTTCCTTTTTGTTTGTTAGGTTGTTTAAATAAACGAAGGTAGGTACGTTATGAATTATAATAGTTTGGTCATCGCTATGACGACCGTCGAAAAGAATTGTTTATTTTGTACAATATTATGTTGCCTGTACCTTTACAAAAAAAAAATATAAAAAACATTTAAAAAATTACCGTTTTTTTAAATAAAAAAGTACCGCAAACGGGTAGCCGTAGTGCTTTTATTCTCACGGCGCTTATATTATATTATTGTGTTTCCATTAAAAAACGCAATATAGACGATCGGTAAAAACCGTAACATTGTAAATTAACGATACCGATAAAGGGCAACGCGGGTCATTATGGAATAAAAAAAATAATAATAAAAAAGTACATTCACATTGAAAGCCAATGCTGTTTTTTTTATTCTGCAACCGTTTCGTGTCTTGGTAAACAAACAAAAAGGTGTAAATTTAACTCTTTTCAGCGTTTTCTATTGTCGGCTTTTATCGTTTTTAACATACAAAGGCGACATCGGTATTTTTCGTTCTAAAGATACTTAATAAATTGTTTAAATTGCGCCTTAAATGGTTTTTCAAATGTTTAAACAATCTATAATATAAATTGTTTTTTTTTTTTTTTGTAAAGTTTACTTGGAAACGCATTTCTTAATTCGAAAACTAATAGACTACAGTAAAAATAATTGTAGCACAAAAACTCTCTTTGAAAGGTCTTTGACCAACTTTGGAAAAAAAAAATCATTTCATACGGACTATATTTTAATAAAAATAAAAAACAATTATTGTTTAGAATTTTGACAGCCAGACAGATTGCGAGAAAAGCACATGAAAGCGAATCGAGTTGT